TTTTTTTCCCAAGTTTTTAAAAATTGAGGTATAGTTGATTTACTGTATTACATTAGTTTCAGGTGTCCAACATAGTGATTCAATATTTTTCTAGCTTATACTCCATTTATAGTTATTAGAAAATATTGGCTCGATTCCCCGTGCTGTACAATGTATCCTTCCTTGTAGCTTATTTATTTCATACATAGTAGTTTGTACCCCTACCTTGCCCCTTCCCTCTCCCCATTGGTAACCATTAGCTTGCTCTCTGTATCTGTTGAGTCTTTCTTTTTTGTTATGTTCACTAGTTTGTTTTATTTTTTTAGATTCTACATATAAGTGATAACATGCAGTATTTTTCTTTCTCTGACTTATTTCACTAAGCATAATACCCACCAAGTCCATCCATGTTGTTGAAAGTTGCAAAATTTCATTCTTTTTTTCTGGCAGAGTAGTATTCCATTGTGTATATATGTATCACATCTCTATCCAGTCACCTGTTGATGAACACTTAGGTTGCTTCCACATCTTCGCTGTTGTAAACCACAGCAGGTCCTTTGTCTAAGGAACTAAAGCCAGTGATCCCCATGAGATTGGAAACCATATATCTGAGAGTCTGATGGGACTGTGGAGACCATTCTTTTCAGTCCCCACCCCTGCACCCAAGTGGGTCAAGCAGGCCCTGATAGCCCCTACTACCCACACGGTCACCCCACAGGGACACCTGGGTGGGCTCCCTCGGGGCACGGCTGTCCATGGGCAAGGGGCTGCCTGGGCCTTGGTGCAGGGGGTTTGTCCGTCCTGGTGTATGAGCCATGCATGGGCTGGGGCAGGGGACAGCTATGGTTGTCGGGTAGAAAAGAGATCAAAGAAAAGTAAGGTCACCCCAGAGTGGGACATTGACCAGCCTTACCTAGAGACACAGAGTCACGGTGGTAGCCTGGGGCCCCCAGCATGGCCTGCACTGGCCAGGATGCAGGGCTGGGGGCTCTCACTGGCCCGTTTCCCACAGCAGCTCTGGCAGGGCCCAGCCAGCCTACTAAAGGGTCACACACAGGCCCTTCTGGAGGGAAAGGTCCTGGGGGCCCCAAACCTACAGAATGTGCCTTAATTAGCAGGCTACCCCTCCCCCATCACACTGACCTAGAGCAGCACTGCCCCCCTTGTCTCCCTGGGCTCTCAGCCCTTCCACATGTGGCAGGGCCCTCGGGAAAAGTCTCGTCTGTGTCCTCCATACCTTCGCCCACAGCCCCAGGCCCAGCTTCTGTCCCTCCCCTTTCTCCTCTGAGTTCCTCACCCCAAATCCCCCTTTTCTGTCCGCTCTCAGAAGCCCCCTCAAAATGATGGTCTTCCTGCCCCTGCTCCTTCGGGCTGTGCCCTCTTTCCTAGGATGATGCAGAGGAAGGGGGACAAAGCAGGCCCAGTCTCCCCCAGAGCCCAGGCCCTGCACTGGTGAGCGGGAAGGGCTTGGGGATCCCCTAGAGCAAACCGAGGCCTGGAGAGCGGAAGGGACGTGTCCAATGTCACACCACCGGGAGCAGTGTCGTCTCCAGCACCCAGGGCAGCCCCCCTCCAACTCCCCACAGCGCCCGGGCCTTGTCCCCACCCCTCCTAGCACATCCTACTCCCCGGCTCCCTTCTGGTGCCTTCAACAGCCGTTCCGTGGCCTCCCCAGGCCCCAGCTCCTGCCTCTGTACCAAACCTCCCAGCGCACCCAGGAGGGCGTACGACTGTGTGTGTGTGTGTGTGTGTGCGCGCGCGCGCGTGCGCGCGCACGTGCACTCTTATGCTTACTGACCATGAAGAGCGTGCGTGTGTGTGTGTGTGAATTACACCGAGACAGAGGTGTGCAGAGGTCTCACTCCTCCAGGCCTCACCCTCCTCTGCCCCCACGACCTCATCTCCGACCAGCTCTGCGCCCACCCGGCTGCTCCTGGAACACAGCACCGGCCATGCTTGCTCCCTTCCATGAGGTCAGCCCGGCTCTGGGGGCAGGCCTGGTCTCAGCATCTCAGCTGGGCCTGGGATGGAGGGTGGCCAGGGCGGGACCCCCTCCGACCTGACTCTTCCCCAGGTCGTCATCAACCCCAACTACGAGGTGGCGGAGTCTGACTACACCAATAACGTCATGAAGTGCAGGACCCGCTATGACGGTCACCGCATCTGGATGTACAACTGCCACATAGGTAAGGCCCCCGGGCCCTCCTGGGGAGCACAGCGCCTCAGGCCTGCCAGGTCCCCCCACGCCGCAGCCCAACTCCAGGAGACAGGCAAGAGCTGCCCCACTTTCTCCAGGAGGCAGAGCAGCTTCCTAACTTGGGCAAAGACTTCAGGGAATGGGGCCAGCCTCGCATTTCCACGCGCAGGAAGGACACTGTAGACACCACAGGCCTGGATGGAGACTGGGTTTTCACAGCCAGCTCTGGCTAAGGAGAAAGGATGGGGCAGAAACCGGGCCGGCCCAGCGTAGACCCCAAAGCTATTTCAGGGCTGGAGCTGAGGCCACCACCTCATTACGCATGAAACCTCAAAAATGGGGGCGTCAGCAATTTGAGGGCTCTGTGTATCGTTTTCCTGCCGAGAGCTAGAAGCTAGTCAAACACTGTGGCTTCTGGTCGCCTGTAAAGAAGCTTTTCCTCGCGTTATACAACCTGGGTTCCAAAAGGGGAGGCTGAGCTTTCTCTTCCGTGGGAAGTGATGGCCTCGCTCTGACTGGAGGAGAAAACAAAAAGCACTAGTTTTAGTCGCTCCTTCACTCGACTTTGACAGAGCAGCTGACACGGGCCTGGCCCTAGAGATGGCCAGCACCTGTCGCTGCCCTGGGGGTGTCACATAGAGGTGGCCGCCCGAGGAGGGTGGTGGCTCCAGGGACCCTGTGACCTGTGCATCCGGTTTGCCAAACTCTGTCTCCCTGATGCCCACCCCTCAGGTGGTTCCTTCAGTGAAGAGACAGAAAAAAAGTTTGAACACTTCAGTGGACTCATAAATAACCAGCTCTCCACGCGGTAAAGCAGTGACATGGTCACCTCTTGCCTTTGGGCCACAGCGCATCTTCCCCAACGACCGACAGTCTCGCCCTGCTCCCCTTCATCCAGCCCGGCTCGCCTGTCTCGACCCCCTGCAGCCCCGGCCATACTCAGGAGGAAGGCAAGGAAGGCATGTTCCTGACACCTGCAGGCTGGGAAGGCCTCTGGGGCTGGGGCTTGTCCACGGGGCTGTGGGAGCAGTGCCAACGGACAGCCATCCTGTCCAGGACCCCAGCGCACAGGTTGTCACCAGCTTGTCCCATCCCAAGCACAGTCCACTCCGAGTCTCACCACCTGCCTGGGTCACCACAGACAACACGGGGCCATCTTCTTCTCAAGTTCCAAGCTGGCAACGTGAGTGATCAACCCGCGGAGGTCTGGCTGAATCCCATTTCTCCTCCTCTTAGGTCGTTTCCAGCCAACTGGAGTATCTAGACTTCTCTTCCAATTAAACAAACTGCCTCTATTCTCTCCACACATATAAATAATGCTGCCACACGTCTTCTGATTCAGTGAGCTCAGAGCTGGTACATCTCTCCCCCACACACCCCCGTGTCCTCTTATTTTTCAAGATACTATTATTATATTCTATTTTCACAGACTTTGAAACACAAATTTAGTGGCATTTCATATTGGGCATCTGGGCCTTTGAAAGTACAGCTCAGAAGAAAACCAGCCCTCCTGTGTAAGTGACTTCTCCTTCTGTCCTTCCAGTTCTGTAACTGATTGAACGGTGCTATAACCAGGGTCCTGGGTGATGAGGACACTTACCGATCGCCATGTGTCACCACAGACACTTACACATACTTGAAACTTGGAATAAAAGATTTATGACCTGCATGTGTGTTTCATTTGGGCCTCTGCACGCAGCCCCTGAGCAGCAGAGCTCCTTTCCCTAGTCGGCAGTCAGGGAGCTTGGCACCATTACATGTGCTCTCCTGCAGAGACTGAGTTCCTGGGCCCCTCCCGTCCAGCGTGGCCACAGGGGCCTCCTTCAACGCACACCACAGAGGAGGGGCGACTCCTGCCGAGAGCCGCAGTCTAAGGAGGTCAGGAAAATCAACAGAAACACAGGCCTCAGCCTTTCTTCAGCTCTTGTTTTTTAGTGAAATGTGTCAGGGGCACAGTGGTTGTGTGAGGACCAGATGGGACATCTAGACTTAAGTCTCAGGCTCTGGGGGAGGGGGAGTCAAGTAGATCATGGGTCCCCGGGGTGCAGTGAGGGTGGACCCCGAGCCAGCCACTCTCCCCGCAGGCGTGGAGCTCCCTCTTGTGTCATAGCACGCTGTGGCCCAGCAAATCGAGGGGTCCACGATGACCTCAGAGCGCCAGGCAGGACCACTCGGCACCAACTCCACCCAAACCGGAAAGATGAGTGTGCTGGGACCTTGTCTGCACACAGCTGCCCTCCCCGCCATTCCAGTGAGGGGAGAGAACTCGGTGGGCATTTCAGATTTCGCCTCTTGGCTTGTTCTTGTTTATTTCCGCAAGGACCCCCCCCACACACACCGCCCCGTGTAACCCACACCACTGGTGACACTGGGACCAGTCCAAAGAGGGGGGGGGGCCTGCAGCACTGCCAATAGCCCACAGCTGCTCTGGGGGAGACTGGGCAGGTGTCACACAACAGGTGTAACCTACACCCCCAAGCCGGTAAGTCTCTGCGCAAAAATGCCTTCGAGGCCCAGCTGGATCCTAGAGCCCAGTCAACTAGAGTGAGGAGAGCTTCAGCAGCCCCAGGTCTCAAATGGGAAGCGAACAGCGCCCCCTAGTGCCCAGCGGCACACCATCCCATTTTGAAGCAATCACATCAACAATTCTTACATTTTTATTTTTTCTCAACTTCTGGAACTAGACCAAGGTAAAGCCCCCCATGCCCCACAGTGACGCTCCAAGGATGGCTCAGGGCTGCCCTGGTGTGTGTAAAGGCTTGCGGTGTTGGGGCCCCAGATGAGGAGGGGGTCGGGGGGCGCCAATCCAAGCCGCCTGGGCCTCTCAGGGCCTCAGGGTCGGGGGAGGCTCCACTGCAGGCCGCTCTTTCTTTCTGTGTTGGAGCCCCAGGGCCCGGGCCACCAGCCTCCGGGCCACGGCTGTGTTTGTCTGTGGTCTCTCCTTTGCCAGACGCAGAAGCTCTAAAAGGAAAGCCCCACGGGGTGGGGACTTGAATTCAAGGCTATGGCCTCTCCTCCCAGCAACACAGCGGCCTCAGAGGCCATTAGAGCATGACCAGATGCTGCTGAGAGGGGGCCACCTAGGGCTCCAGGCCCCCTGTGGGGTCCTGACTAATCCTATCACCTCTCTGCGCCCTCCCTGTTTCTCTGTGGCGGCTGTGTTAATCCTGTCTACCCCCTGCTTTGTAGGGCCCTTTGAGAGGGAAAGCGAATCAGGATGGGACACCTGGAGCTCTTGGGTCAACAGACAGGATGTTTATTGTCCCCAAGGAGTCTGGGACAAAGACCACGTAATCCGCAAGAATGTGGACCGCCTCAGCAGGCTTCTCCCAGGCCAGCTTTGCCAGCCACTGCTTTGCAGCCATGGAAAAGTGGCCTCTAAAGCGCCCTCGTGCTTTCTGGGAGGAGAGGCAAGGGGAGATGTCATTTATACGGCATCTTCCGTGTGCCCCGCACCGCTGCGGCACGCGTGCCAGGCTTTCTTATTCACCCCAGTGCTTACGTCACAGACGTTAGGTGACTTGCTCAAGGCCAACTTACATAAGTGCCAGAGCCAGGATCACACCGAAGCCCAAGCTTTTTACCCTACAGCAAAACATGGCTTCCGCGGCCGCACAGAAAGACCAAGCTTCCCCCTGAGCCACACCACAAGAGGTGTGAGCGGAGGGCAAGCCCGGGACAGAGCAGCTGGCAGACAGCACTGATGAGGGGCCCCCCTGGGGTGGGGAGGAGCACCCCACTGGCCACTGCAGCCCAGGAGCCCTAAAGCAGAGAACTGAAGAGGGGAGGGAATCAGAGGGAACGGCACGCCCCGCCCAACCGAACGCTCCCACAGCCCCTCCCACTCAGGCCACCGGCTCCCTTACTTGGCCTCTGCAGGGCCTTCAACTTGGACTGCTTGGTTCCCTGCGTCAGGGGCCGGATCTTGAGCGTGGAGAAATCCCTGGTCAGGGCCTCAGCAGCTGTGGAAAGACAACAAACAGATCTGGAGCCATGCCCTCTTCCTCCTGCTGAGGCCTCCGCAGGACCCAGGAGCACGAGTGTCACCCCAAGGCCCACGCAGCTGCTTTGTACACCCATTCAGAGCTCAGGGACAGGGCTGCCCCATGAGCTTGCCTCGCCCCCGGAGCCCGCAGACCTGCACGGGGCCACCCATGCTCTCAGGTGGACAAGCCCTCGGAGCCCAGCTTCCACGTTCCTGCCCCAGGCTGGTCGGGAGCCGCGTAAGCCTACAGTTCTGACGTCAGGAGAGGCAGGCCCCCGCCTTCCAAAGCCCGGGAGCTTAAAACAAACGCCACCCTTCCCCCACTCGAGACCCTCCCAGGGAACGTGCCCTCACTGCCCCAAGCTGTGCCAGGCCTTGGAGCACTCAGGCCACTTAACAGACACAGCAGGTCAGAGGTCAGAGCTGGGAGGGGCTTCGGGTCCAAGCCACTGTAGGGATGAGGAAACTGGGGCCAGGACGTGGCCTGCCCGTGCCACACAGCCTGGTGGAGCCCAGACGGCAGCCGTGGCCATGCCTAGCCCACTGTTCCTCCTTCCCGTGGGCCAGAAAGCCTCTGGGCCTCCCCCTGCCCCCGCCTCTCTTTCAGTGGCTCCCTCCCTGGGGTTGAAGCCCCTACCTCGCCCCAGTCCTCTTGCTCTCTAGACACTGCCCCTCTTCCCTGAAACCGCAGGCTCTCCTGAGAACTGGGCCCACCCCGGCCATGGTCACTCCCAGCTCTGTGTTCAGACGCTGTTGTTGTGAGAAGCCCAGCCAAGGGCGGTGGGGTACCAACTCTTTACAAATACGCCCAAAGTGAGCAGTGGCGTGGCAGGGGCAGCTCAGGAAAGTGGCCAAGACGGAAGACGTGCACCGTCCAGGGCTACAGCCAGGAGGCTGGCTGGCCTCCCCAGCTCTGACGCCAAGAGTCTTAGTAACCCTGACCACACACTGACATCCAGGGAACTCAGTCTCCCCATCTGTGAAATAGGGGTCACCTGACCTACTTCTTGGCGCTGTAATGAAAATGGAATGAGACGCATCTGCTCAAACCGTATGAAATTGCCGTATTTGAATGCTTTTGACCTATAAAAATGGCACATTCGGGACTTCCCTAGTGGCACAGTGGTTAAGAATCTGCCTGCCAATGCGATGGACACGGGTTCGAGCCCTGGTCCAGGAAGATCCCACATGCCGCGGAGCAACTAAGCCTGTGCACCACAACTACTGAGCCTGCACTCTAGAGCCCACG